GGGGACATATAATATATTATATAATTACAGAAAACAAAATAAGTTTCACCAGATTTGTTTCTTTCTCTAAAGGTAGTATACCCTAGTCTATCAAAATAATAAAAAAAATACGTTTTGGTTTTTTATAATTTTATAGTTTATATTTACTGAGGAAGTTGAATACATTACATTTGGGACATGCTAAAATGAGCGCATATTCCAGAGAAATGGTGCTTTAAAGAGATAATAAAAAAAATAAAAATAATAATTTATCTTTGTTGGATCAATAGAAAACACATAAACACATAATAAAATAGGTTTGTTATAAAGATTTGTCTAATTTTATAAAAGAATAAGAGCCAGTTAAACACGAGGACATGAATATGTGGCCCAAAACAGGAATCAACCAAATACCACCATAAAGCACTTTAACCACCTATGATCTCTGTAGGGGCCCCTCCTTCAAAGCGGCCTCTAGCCCCTATGTCTTCTGGGGGGAGCAACCCCCCCCACAATAACTGATAATAATAAATGCATAACATAATAAAACAACTGATTATCATAGATTATTATATGCAGTGGTGAAATGATGCGTTTTCAGCCTAGTTTTGAAAGTACTAAGACATTCAGTAGCTCTCAGGTTCTCTGGGAGAAGGTTCCAGAGTTTGAGCCCATAGTGACTAAAAGCTGCCCCCTCCCTCCCCAGTCGGGTTTTAGGGATAATCAGTAAATTACTGCCAGATGGTCTGAGCGACCTGCCTGGGACATACCTTACAGTCATGTTACTGATGTAGGACAGAGCAAAATCACGTACATATTTACAAATTAACAAATAAACTTTAAAATCAGTCCTAGAAGCCAGAGGAAGCCAGTGCAGGGATGTGAGAGCAGGTGTGATGTGATCCCTGTGCCTGGTGCGTGTTAACCCTCCGGCAGCAGCATTCTGGGCCCATTGTAGATGTGAAATAGATTTCTTAGGCAGACCAGACAAGAGGGGATAACAGTAATCTATTCTACTAGACACAAAAGCAGGTATTATTTTTCCACAGCCAGCATATGACAGCAGACCCCATATGACTCAGTGCACTAAGCCTGTGTGCTTGTAATCAGAGGGTCACCGGTTCAAACCCAGCCTCAGCATGTCAGTGGCTCCTTGAGCAAGGCCCTTAACCCCCAGCTCCCTGGGTGCCCTAACAGGTGGCTGCCCTTTGCAGACAGCTTACTCTACAAAAGAGCAAGTTGAGAGAGGCATAAAAAAGACAATTTCCCCACGGGGATCAATAAAGTATTGATTATTATTACTACAAATAATGCGACTTATCATGGAATTCCATATCAGCTGTTTCTGTAGTAGATGGAGTATGTGGTTATAGATGTCCTGTAGGGGGCAATAGAGGGTGGTTAATTAGCCTGTGGTTGGTTAGGCAGGTGGCGGTAGAAAAACGTGGTGTTGTTGGAAGACATATGGTGTGTAGTAAAGAAGACTAATTCTACAGGAATGCCTGGGTGTCCTTATTGAGAAATTACTACATTGGCGACGAGGAAACTGGCGAGCACATAAGACGTTGCTTAAAAGTACGCCTGACGGCGCAGATCTTCCGGCTACCCTTCCCAGACAAAGAAGCCAGCACGAGCTGCGTCATGGCGGCATCGATGGTAGGGACGCTCACTCCGTTTGATAGTCAGGAACAGACTTGGGAGGAGTATTGTGAAGTGTTGGATCACTTTTTCGAGGCAAATGGGATTGCAGAAGCGGGAAGGAAACGCGCAATATTGTTGAGCTCTGTGGGCAGCCGGACATATAGCCTAATGAGAAACTTGCTGAGCCCAGAAA